GGGAGGCGAGGCGTCTCGACAGCCCCGCTCAAGGATTGACGGATTTTTAGGCGGGGCGGGCCGTTACCCTGAGGCCAGCCGTGTTGTTGTGGCGTGTCCAGCTATGTGGGCTGTTGCCCCAGCTACCGGTGGGTCTGCACCGGGTTGCCTCCCTTCTTGCGTTAGCAGTTGGGAGAAAAGCGAGCGAGACGCGTTGTTCTTCTCCGGTACTACTGGTGGAGGTCCTAAATGGGACCAAGTCATTTCAAAAAAAGACCGTTGACGCGAATGGGACCGTGATCGAGGATATCGGGGTGAACTTCAGTGATCGCCGAGCGACCTTGTTCAGGAGACTCCCAAGACGAAGTGATACCAAGACAACGTTTTGGTACTGCGACGATGCGGAGGTTGTACTGTCCTGGAGGAACAAGTACTTCCCGAAGGGTCCCGGTAGGGAACCTCTCAGGGTCAAGATTCCCGATCTCCCTGATGTGTTTGTTGTCTCAATTGAGAATGACAATACGGGCAGGATCGTGAATCGTTGCCGAGAGGCCGGATACAGCCATCCAAATGCGATTAAGTTCCCATCACGCAAGAGAATTGCTAGGGAGGTTCAAAGTGCTCTGATAAGAGCAGCGGCTGTTCACGCCCAAGTGCTCTTAGACAATGACGAGGACATCGACACCAACCCTGGGGATGTGCGGGGACATCGCGTTGTTCGAAAGCCGAAGTACACTCAGAAGGTTGCTGCACCTGTTGGATACGGCGGGGTGAGGTGGCTGGTAGATACTGGTTGCCCAATGGATCTGGTCGGTCTTGGTGATTTGAAAGGACCCGATAGGGCCCTGATTGCCAAAGGCGGGCACACTCACGCGGTGGACACTGCTAACGGGGCGACTCGCACCGCTGGTCGTGTTGATGCTGATGTTGGCAACCTGGACGAGGTGATTGAGGCACACGTCCTTGAGTCCACTCCATCCATCATATCCGTTGGCAAGCGCTGTATGGACATGGGATACTCGTTCGTATGGACTGCAGGTTGCAAGCCTACTCTCACGTGTCCTTCGGGCCGCATGGTGACATTGGATGTCATCAACAACGTGCCGTACCTTCCTCATGGTGACACTCAGTTTGTTTCTCCCACTCTTGATGATGCTGAACCACTTCCTGCTATGCCTGCCCCCGGTGTGGCGTATCAAGGGCATGAAGTCAGCGAGGTTCTGCCGCGTAGATCTGAACTCACGGCCAAGAGTGAGCTACAGGACACCTGGCGCACTGAGCGGTCGGGCCATGTTGTGAAGGAGCACCGGATCCCGCGAAAAGCAAAGTTTGTGCCGACAGGTGACGATTGTCCCGTTGGGGTTGATCGATTGGACAACTACAGGAAGACCGTCGTTCACCGAAATGGGGTTACCCATGAGGTGCTGGTTGATAGTCTATGGGAGTTGTCCGAAAGAGATCAGCATGCGATAGCATCTGATGTCCCATGGACGGGTGAAACGTGGTTTCAGGTCAAGTGCGAGACCGTTGCTCTTCCCGGAAAGGCGGAACAGGGGGGTGAAGGCGATAGCCACTCACCACCTTTTCCTGGCCCAGGGGAAGGGGACGATGGTGACATTGTCGAGATAAACTTTCTCTCCGGACTACGCACAGAGGCTGAGTGGCGGGCAGATGCTAAGACGCTTCGCCATATGCTTACGCATCTCCCGAAGAACCCCTATTGCCTGCACTGCCAGCGTGCGAAAATGGAGAATGTCAAGCTTCGCCGCAAAGGTGGTGCTGCTGCGCATGACGTGGTAAGTTTCGGGGACCTAACCACCGCTGACACGATGGTGTTGCGAGGATTGAAGGATCGAGGCTTTCATGGCGAAGCAGATGCGATAGTATTCTATGACCTCGCTACTGACTACCTCGAAGTCCTTCCTGTGCAATCCAGATCCCGTAGCAATACGCTGGAGGCATTTCGCAGGTTTGCAGGGGGGCAAGCTCTGAAGTTGGTGTACAGCGACCAGGCCCCAGAGCTGAAAAATGCTGTCACTACGCTTGGGGCATTGCACCGACTTTCTACACCGGGCATGCCCAAGACCAATGGCCTGATCGAGAACAAGGTTAAGCTCGTTCTTCATGGGGCACGTGTGCTCCTGCGTCAAGCTGGATTTGAACCTCGATGGTGGCCATTTGCCGTTAGGCATTTTTCCATGGCAAGGAATATTGAAAATCGCGGTGAGGGATCACCGTGGATGCGACGCCATGGTGACGGTAACTTCAGCGGAGTCATTCTGCCGTTTGGTTGTCTGGTCGACTTCTACCCCATTGCTCCCAAAATTCGCAGGGATAGAAAGGGGGGAGTTCAAAACGCCCAAAACGACTTCAGACACGCTGGAAAGGTCGACTCAGAGGACGTTAATGAGGGAGGAGACCACTGGATCGCAAATGAAGACGAGAAGGTTCTCACTCGCGTCCACGTTGAAGCGCGAACCGAGCTCTTTATCCCGATACTGGACGAGCTGTCCAGTCAAGATCAAAGACCTTGGCAGGAGGCGGAGCACAGTCCTCAACTATCTGGACGGATTGACCGAATTTGTTGTTGACGAAAACTGGATCCACTCCCCTTCCTCGGCGGAAGGGCTTCCGGGGCCGGGGGCACCTTTGTCTACAAAGGTCCCCTCGCACCTGTGGCCGTCCTGGCCTCCACAGCTCACTTTGCATTCCGCTGTGGCTCTGATGGGCTTGCCTCAGGCCCTTGGCAAGATGCGGGCATGCCTTCTGCCCTTCTGGATCCAGGCCGAAAACGACCGTGGAGGTAACCACGAATGGACTGGAGAAACTCATTTCGACTGTGATTTTGATCAAATCGATGAGGATGAGGCCGAGATCTATGAGAACGAGGAGTATGAACCCGAATGCAACGACGAACCGGACTTTGTTCCCATTGATGAGGTAGAGGTTGAAGAGACAAGCGTCACTACTGCCCTGCCCGAGAAGAAAGAGCGGGACTTCATCAAGATAGAGGAGGATCCGAAGTTCGCCCCATCTTCCAAGCCAGGCCTATTTCTGGGCTATCGGTTAGAACCAGGGAGGCTGTGGAAGGGCGACTATCTCGTTGCTGATCTCGAGCACATCCAAAGGGGTCTCAGGAAACCAAGTATACACCAGGTCAGACGTATCTGGAACAACCCTGAGAAGCCCTACGTGTTCCCGATGTTGGCATCCTATGATGCTAGGACTCGGACCATTCGGGAGGCGTTAGCTGACCGAAGGGCCGACATGAAGCCGAGTAGGAAGATCAGGGATGAATTCGACTTTGATGAAGGTCGATTTGATGATCCTGATGATGATGACGATGACCAACAGGACGAGGGGGGCGGTAGCTCTTCCAGGTCTGATGGGGCCATTAAGAGCAAGGCTGTCCAAGGGAGTGGTGACGCATGCGTCTCAGATTACTGGGAGCGGCACGACGAGGACAGCGCCTGGTATCGCATCCACATTGAGGTGCGGAAGAAGTTCTTCGGGACGACGAACGAGGACCTTCCTCCAGGTGGTCCTTCGCATGAGGAGCTTGACACCGTTAGGGTCACGCACATGCGGGGGCTTGATGCCGTTGGAAATTGGGTGAGAGATGATCGTCATCACGATGCTCCCAATCATCGGCATTTCACGCGTGGTTTTTGGACTGGCGTGACCATCCTCTTTGATAAGGGATGTGCTCCCCACGGCAGGTTCAAGCCAAAGGAAGAAGGAGCCGAACCTGCCGGAGGTCCGAAGAAGGGCCATAAGCTGCACGGAGACAGGATCGACTATGGCCAATCCGCCGATAGGCGTGAGCGGCCATACGCAGGCACCGGAAAACCCAATTCAATTGATGCAGATAGTTGGAGACAGATGTCTACCCGGTCTCGGGAGATATATGTTCAAACCGAACGAATTATCCCTAAGCGAAGAACGACGCCGCGAACATCCTGAGAGGGACCCGGCTGCTCCAGCGCCTGGCCGCAAGCTCCTCATCGAGTTTGCGTGTGAACCTGACTCGCGTCTGTCCGCAGTGATGATGGAGTGTGGAGGCGATGCAATTCGCGTTCACGTTGGCTCATTTGACATCACCAAAGCCAAAGACGTTAGTCGGCTTATTGAGATCATCGAGGATAATCCTGGGTGTGACCTCTGGGCGTCAATTCCGTGCGGACCGTGGAGTACATGGCAGTATGTCAACCTTTCAATCCACGGTGCTGAGTTTGCATCACACCTGAATGATCTGAGAAGAAATTCTCAGGTAATGTTTGCGGCATTCCTGCGGGCCTCCCGAGCCGTTAGGCAAGGAGGGGGCAGGGTTGCATTTGAGTGGCCTAGACACTGTCTGGGATGGAAGCAACCGTTCATGCAGAGGTTTCTTGCTGATCCTGATGTCGAGACCGTAGATTTCGACGGCTGTGACTTCGGGATGCAGGATAAGGACGGTGTGCCAATCAGGAAGCAGTGACCTCCAAGGAGCTCATTGATGAGCTGTCAGGTCGGATATGCAAGCACGAGAAGGGATACCTTCATGCACGCATTGAAGGGTCGGTCACCCCAACGACTGCTCTCTATCCGAGCGCGATGTGCGAGGCAATCGTTGGAGCATGGTACCCAAACGGCACGTTCAAGAAGGTCGCGAATGCTATGCCGGTCGAGGTTGACCCGATTGAGCAGCGATGGAAGAAGAAGCCGAATACCTTGTACGTTAGTCTTAACAGTGAGACGGCCAAGATCCCGACGCGGGCTACTTCGGGGAGTGCGGGTTTGGATACTGCGATAGACCATTTTGGTTTGCCCAGACCACAGTACAGAAGCACATGCATCGTGAACCCTTTCGGCTTTGCCAGGGAGGGCCCTCTCTTTAGCAGCCAAACCGTTGGCGACAAGCCATGACGCGTTTCCTTGAGGAGGAAAACCAAGGTGTGTAGCCGCTGAGGGCGGCTGTTGCATTGGTAGCGGAGCACGTGACGGTCCAGCTGAACACGCGCTTTGGCGCGATCAGGGAGACCATGGAGGGCAAGGAAGTGGTGCCCACTTGGGATGGAGCCCCGAAGGGTTGGAGACGCTACTGCAAGGAGGTGGCCTGGTATGTCAGAGGTAACAAGCAGAGCATGCGGAAGTATCTGGCAACGAGGCTGATCTCCAAGCTCACTGGCACTGCCAGGCTCCTGGCAATGAGCTGGTCGCAGGCGGAGTTCGATACGGAGGACGGCGTCACCAAGTATCTTCGGAAGCTCGCGCAGAGCCCATTGGTGCGGAGAAGCATGCCGAATGCGGCGGCGATCATGAGCCAGTACTTCAGCTTTAAGCGGTACAACAATGAGAAGGTCGCGGACTTCTTGGTGCGGGAGACCTTGGGATTTGAGGTTCCAAGAGGCGCTCATCCGGCTGAAGCAAGAGCGCAGCGGTGTTGATCCGAGCAAACGGACGTTTGGACTACCTGCACCTGAAGAACGGGGTCGAGATGACGATCTTCAAGATTGGTGGTCTCCGAGTCAGTGGGATCGGTGGAGACAGCGTGGAGGTAGCCGAGTGGAGGATGCATCGGACACTTCGAGTTGGAGAAGGTCTCGTGGCTACCGTCGAGTGTCTCAAGAAGAAGATGCTGCTGACGCGGACGGAGATGGACTAGCTGAAGAACCGGCTCCTGCTGAAGGAGAACATCAAGGTGATCCGCAGGAATCTCAAGCGGCTTCTCCTCAAGCCGGACATCGGGATTCCGCAGAGGCGGCGTCTCAGGGAGGACGTCGAGAATCAGCTACACCGGGACCGAGCCCGGTGGCCGTGGACGAGGAAGACGAGCTGAACGTGATGGACTCCTTCATCATCAATGTCTTGAGAGGCTGGAGGCTGCTGGTGGCTGCCTCATTGAGTCCGGAGGAGTGGCGTGACATCTTGAGTGCCACCAACGGACGCCTGGACTATGACAGCATCAGCGATGCCTTGCAGACCTTGTGGGACGAGCAGTTGACGGCAACCCGGTTTCAGCCTTCACTCCCTGGACATCACCTTCATGTTGCGGAAGCAGTTCATTACACGACGTACGTGGAGGACACGCCCTACGAGGACTGGGGAGATGAATGGGGAGATGGTTGGAACGCTGGTTGGCAATATCATGTCGGTTGGCGAGATGACGATTCTCCTGTATGGGAACCTGCTGGAGTCGAACATGGAGAAGACGCTGATGATCCTCGATTACAAGAACTGCAGAAGGCCGAGCAGGATGCTGAGGTGTTGGCCATGGAGGCGAAGCGAACGTGGTCACAGGCTCAGCAAGCCACTGCGGCCATGAGGAGAGAGCGTGGGTTTATTCCCTCGGCATCCGCTGGGATGAAAGGAAGCAGTGGTTGTTTCATTTGCGGGGGCAACCATATGGCGAGAGAGTGTCCTGACCGGCAACATCCCGGCGTGCGAAAAGGGAAAGGTTTTGGTGGAAAACCCATGGGCGGCAAGTTCATGGGCAAGCACATGAACTATGCAGACTCGGACTGGCACTGGGACCTGGTCATGGCGAAGGGGAAGAACAAGAACAAGAACGCCAACTGGACGGCCTATGACATGGCGTACGCATTTCCCCACGGCAAGAACAAGGGCAAGTTCAAAGGTTCGAAGGGCAGCCAGGTCAATGCGTATGTGGCCGACTACTACGGACTGGAGATGGAGGTTGATGGGCAAACACGTGGAGACCTTCATGCAGCAGGGGCGCAGTCGGCCAAGGTGAATGCAGAGCGTAAGCCCAGTCAAGGGATGCTAGACACGGGAGCCACAGCAAGTGCTGGCCCCGAGGGTGCTGTTCGTGGGCTGATTCAAGCCCTACTGGCAAAAGACCCAGGAGCGACGATCAAGATTGACCAGAGCCGTCGCCCATATTTTCGCTTCGGGTCCGGGAAGTGGGGTCGCGGAGAATATCATGTAGATCTCCAATCCACAGCATCTGGTAAACCAAGGTCCTTTTCCGTGTATGTGCTCCCCAACCCCAGCAACTATCAGGATAACGAGGAGAACCGTTCCCTACTGGTTCCTGTGTTGGTTGGCATGGACTTCGCGGGAGACACCGGGACGGGCATGGTTGTGGATCTGGTGGATGGGACGTGTGTTTTCTCGTTGATTGACCCCCTACGGCATTATACTCTCCAGCAGAACTCCAAGGGGCACTATATGGTGGATCTTGTTGAGTACCTCACAGGGGGCGTCACCGTGAGCCAGGGGCATGCAAACATCATTCTCCTACAGGAGCGCCATGTGTCGTTTGATGTGGAAGTTCTGGAACTGCATGTCGTTCTGCCAGAGGTTGATCGAGGTGAACTTTTCCGTCAGTTGCTGCAGCGAAGAAGCGAATTGAATCAGACGAGCCCGGCAGCAAGGAGGCTCAGACTCATGCAACCTGCTCCCAAGAGCTCAGTGGAGCCACCCTCTTCGCCAGTGCCGGTAGGAGGTCATGGCCGTAAAGTCGCCGGACTACCTGGCGGTGCTGATGAAGCAGTTGGAGTGCGACAAGGAGGGGAAGAAGCAGATGGACGTCCTGGAGAAGGACCGAGCGATGGAGCTGGACGGACGGGATCCTCGAGCGTCCGACCAGCAATGGCCATGCTATGGAACGCGCGAGCCAATGCGGCATCGGTCCAACAAGTGGGGAATGTGGATGCACTGCAGTCAATGTGCCCTGCGGTTGATCTACCTGCCCAAGAAGGGAGCCCCGTCGGACAGCACGGAGGTCAAGAATCACCAGGACGTGAAGCAGGCGCTGAAGCAGCTGGAGGACTTTGCGACCATGAGGGGCATCCTGCCGACGGAGGAGATGGTGCGAGTCGCGATCGAAAAACACACCACGAACCAGCGGTACGCGGACGTCTTGGCCAAGTGCAAGAACAAGCCGGTGGCCGCGAAGCCTATGAAGAAGGGCTATCAGACGACTCCGGGTCGGACCAGCGCCAGACCTCGACTAGGTGCCCTGTCCGGGTCTTGACGTGCAGGCTCTGGGTTCGCGGGTTGTAGTTGATCACCTTCGCTAGCATGCCGTTGACAAAGTCAATGTCCTTGCGAACATTCTTCGTCAGGAACACGTCCATGTCCTTGTAGACCGTGAAGCTCAAGGGCTCCAGCTCCTCGTCCGGCTTCAGCTTGCCCTCGCTGTAATTACAAGGGTTGGTCTCCAGGTCCCCGGCAACTCCGCAATCAATGGCCGGCGGCGCCTCTTCTCGAACAGCGCCTCCACAGCGCAGTTGTTGACTTCCTCTGCCCCTGCCCTTGAGCAGGAAACTATGGCGGTGTTCGGATGCGCGTGGAGGAGCCGATTTAAGCCTTCAGGCGTCGGCGGCCCGGGCGGCCCCCACGCCTTGCGCCGCTGCAGCTGCCGCAGAGTTTTCTGGTCCGGCTTTGACGTCCTGAGTTGCTTGAGAAGCTTTTCAAAGTCTGGGTCCTGGCAGCGGTAGCTGTGAATGAACTCTGTCTTGAAGGTCTTTTGTTTCCAATAGTTGCTCTGCCAAGGCCGCTTGTCGCCAAGGCGCTGTTCGCGCTGCCGACCGCGCAGCTTGCTAGCCGCATGCGCGAGCGCTACGGGCGCCGCGCGGGCCTGGACATAGACACCTGTCACGCGGCCTTCGGTCTAAACGATGTTTGCGCCGGCGAGCTGCCATTCTTGGTTGTCTACGACCTGATCGTCGTGGACGAGGTGTCCCAGCTGACCGCGCAACACAGCGACCGAATCCTGCGGCTGTGGGAAGCTGCGGACAAAGTGCCCGCCTTGGTCTTCGTCGGGGACAAGTGGCAGATGTCCGGCTTTTGCCGCCGTGTGCAAGAAGTTCCTCGATCTTGGCGTGGCAGACCGTGGTTTTGCCCGTCCCAGGCGGGCCCATGCAGACTAGCGCCTTGGCCTCGGCGCGGGCCTGCGCCTGCGCCTCTTCCGCCTCTGCTGGATCCTCACTGCGCCCGCGCTGCGCCCTGTTCACTGCCTCGTCCAAGTGAAGCGCCGCTGCTGGCGGTTGTAGTTGACCCCCGCGGCTGGCCGGACCGCTTGCGCCTCGGCACCGCGGTCCCCTACAAGCGCCGCAAGTTCATGGGGAGTGGTGGAGGAGCCAGAGACGCCTACGCTCGAGCAAGAGATCCTCAAGCACATCACCACGGAGGAACTTATAAAGCTCAAGGAGGTGATGCGCGAGCGATCGCTGAAGGCCCAGGAGGATGCAGAGATGCTCACCACGGACCAGATGAAGAAAATGTCACCAGCGGGGAACTGAAGCGGGACATCCCCAAATACGTGGCCAGTCAAGCGATTGAGATGCAGAAGGATGCGCAGCGTCATTTGGCAATCAACGTGCAGGAGATGCTCTACGGAGAGGAGGACGCACTGTGGGAATTCTTCTGCGCCCCCGACAGTTGGTTGACATTTGCGGCGGAACGAGATGGTCTGAAGTCCATGCGGGTGAACTTGGCGAACAACATGGACCTCTACAGGCCGGACACCTACCAGGTTTTGGAGAAGTTGGCCGCGACCAAGCGACCGAGGAGACTGTGGGTGTCTATGCCATGCACTAAGTGGAGCTCCTGGGCACGATTGAACTATCACGACAGACCGGAGCAATTGACCAAGTTCAGACGCAGGGAGCGGAAGATGATGCGGCTCTTTGCGAATTGGCTCAGCAAGACACTTGAGAGTGGTCAACGTCCGGAGTATTACCATGAGTGGCCTACTCACTGTGATGGTTGGAACGTGCAGGAGATGGGCCAGATCCAGCGCATTCTGGAGTATTTCGGCTACCGCGTTTTCTGGTGTCGGATTGACGGCTGTCGCTACAATCTGAGGTCTCGAGACGGGAAGCAGCTGCTGCGGAAACAATGGACCATCATGCCCACGGACGAGCGGTTCTACGCTATGTTTCGGAGCAAGACATGTGTTGGAGGTCATGATCATGGAGAGATTGCGGGTGTGGAGACGGCATCAACAGCCTACTACCCGTGGAATCTATGCCGCAGCATAGCAAGGCTTTGGCGACAGCAGGAAGTCCCAGACCGTGTGCTGAAAAAGCTCTGGATCAAGGAGGCTATCGACATCACAGATGAGAAGTACCTGGAGATGGTTCTTCACGCGGCGGAAGCAGAGCCGGACGCAGAGGAAGGTGAAGCGGTCGAAGACGTGCGAGAAGAGGAGGCAGTCGGTGGTGCCGAGCCGACGGAAGCGGAGAAACAGGTATGGCTCACGAAGATCAAGAAGTTCCATGCTGCGGCTGGACATCCTGGAAACCGCAACCTGGCCAGGATGGTACGGGATGCTGGAAGACCAGCGTGGCAGATCCGGATGGTCATGGACTACAAGTGTCCGCACTGTGAGGCATTGAGACCTGGTGGTAGCAGCTCGGGACGGATTCCTCCTGCTTCAACCAAACCTTTGCCCAAGGCATGGTCGCAGGTGGGCATTGATCTGAGTGAGTGGCTGCCGCCGAACTGTCAGCAGAAGTACAAGTTCATTCTCTTCATGGACATGGCCACGAAGTATAAGGTGATTGACGTCATCAAGAGCTACCCCATGGAACAGCAACAGGCGGAGTCGGCGGACGATGTGATCAAGAGTTTTGCTCTACGGTGGCTTCTGGACAAGCCGAAGCCGGAGTACGTGATCCCCGACTCGGCGAAGACACTGACGTCAAACAAGCTGCGGGAGTACATGTCCGACCTCAACATCGCGCTCACGCATCCGGCCGAGAAGGAGAGCTGGGCACATGGGGTCATCGAGAGTGCGATCAAGGACATTAAGAACACGGCTACCTTGATCCGGACTTCCTTTGCCGACATGGACCCGGGCGTGTGCTTGGCGATGGCAGCAGCGGGACTCAATGGCGTGGAGTTCGTGGAGGGCTATAGTCCTTTTCAGTGGGCTTTTGGCAGGAGCTATTCGCTCTCGGAGGAAGACTTGCGGACGTTCGCGGGGCTTGATTCACCACCTCTACAACGAGATTATGTGCGACTGGTGACGCAGAGACAACAGGCAGAGGACTGTGCGAGAAGGGCGAAAGCCATGCGAACGCTGAGCAAGCTGCAGAACTCCAAGGTCAGACAGCCGCTGCGGGAATTCTGGCCCACGCAATGGGTGAAAGTGTGGAGAAGGTACATGACCCACGACTATCACAAGGGCAAGAGACAAGGGTTCAAGAAGACCGCAAAGCCGCGGTGGATTGGACCTGGGCGTGTGCTTTTCCAAGAAGTGTTGGTGGACCAGGAGGCGGATGATGAACGCAGACACATTGTCTGGGTGGCCATTGGAAGCACGATCATGCGGTGCTCGGTTCATTCTGTGCGACCCTTGACAGAAGTGGAGCAAGCCGTCGAGGAGATGCGGAATCAGACCAACCCCATGGAGTGGAAGAGCCTCACGGACCTGATACCGTCCAAGGAGTATGTCGATGTCATTCATGAGGAGCCGGACGAGAACGATGAGGAGAAGGTTGATTTGCCAACTCAGCCAGACGCTTCGACAATCAAGCCGGTGACATCGCGGCGACTACGCTTCAAACAACCGGAGCCGACGACATCCGTTGAGGACAAGCAGCAGTCTATGGACATCAACGACTATCAGCCAAGGTCAGCGCAAGTGGATGTAGATGCGGACCTCGAGGAGGATGACCTTGGGATTGGCGATGGGAGAACCTTCTCTGTTGGTGGGTCGTCGTCTGCCAGACCGTTGTTGAAGAGCTCTACATCACGAGCATCGGAGTCGGTAGCGGAAGAGCCAGGAGAGAAACGGCAGAAGGTCTCGCACGGTGAGGACGACAGCGAGAGTCCGGACATGAAGGACGAAGAGGCTATGCGCGCGGAATTCTTTGACGCGTTGGATGAGGTCAACGAGGGCTACGTCATGGAGCTGGACTTGGATTTTCAGTCACACCGGGATCAGAAGAACTTCATACGCAATCCGGTCAACTACCTGGTCAAGAAGATGAGGGATACGGAGGTGAACTACCGGTATCTCAGTGAGGAGGACAAGAAGTTGTTTGACCGGGCCAAGTCCAAGGAGGTGAAGAGCTTCCTGGCCCAGGAAGCGGTACGGGCCTCAGCAAGGCAGAGGAGGATGAAGCTCGCCAATCCGGCAGAGTGTTGGGATGCCGCTGGGTGCTGACTTGGAAGATCATTCCACCGGAGGAGCAAGAGGAAGCGAAGAAAGCCTTGGCGGAAAGTTCCGCAACCACGACCGTGACGAAGGACGCGACAAAGAAGGCAAAGGCCAGGATTGTTCTCCTTGGATTTCAGCATCCTGATCTTCTTCAAGAAGGACATAAGACGGCATCTCCGGTGCAGTCGACGTTGGCACGTTATCTGACCTTCCAGCTGGTGGCCCAGAACAAGTGGGATCTGGAGGGATTGGATTTGTCGACGGCGTTCTTACAGACATCCAAGACCATGGAGAAGGAGCGGCTGTGGACTACTGGCACTCCCGAGCTCAAGGAGGCGTTGGGAGTGGACAACAATGGATTGCTGCGGTTGCTGAAGGACATCTACGGGAGTTCTACGGCTCCACGGAATCTGTGGAAGGAGCTCGACAGTGAGCTGACCAAGCTGGGTGGCATCCGCATCTGGGGAGACTCGTGTCTGTGGGTCTGGATCGAGGAGAATCAGAATCCGAGGAATCAATGGGATCGCTTCAAGACCATTGGCTTCATGGGTGGCCACGTGGACGATTTCAACAGAGGAGGCGACCTGAAGAATGGCAAGTGGCTGGAGATCCGCAAGACCATTGATGAGAAATTCAAGTGGGGGACGATCAGACTCAACTCCTACCGGCACATCGGCGTGGATGTGAACGTGATTGACAAGGGCGATGAGTTCTTTGTGGAGTTGGAGCAGACCCACTATGCGGAGACGTTGGAGGACCTGGCCATTGACTCAAAGCGGCTCCGATCTTCGGGAGATATGACCGCACGAGAAGTGTCCATGTGCCGCGGTGCTCTGGGGGCATTACAGTGGTTAGCTGTGCAAAGCGCTCCACTTATTTGCGCGAGATGCAACTTGCTCCTGACGGACCTCAGTGAACAACCAACGTTAGCCACTGCGAAGGAAGTGCAGGACTTGATCAAGGAGGCGCGGACAATGACGTCTACCACGTTGCGGTTTCATCACTTCAACGACGTGGAGCATTGGCAAGACATGACAGTCATTGGCATGGCGGATCAGGCGCACGCGAACAGGCCCAAGGGTGAGTCCACTGGTGGCCTGCTGGTGCTGATGGGCGGCAAGGGCATTCGCGAAGGAAAGACTTCCACGTTGTCATTGGTGATGTGGAGGACTTGGAAGTTGCGGCGAGTGGCCATTTCGTCAAATGATGGCGAGATTCAGTCCATCCTGGAGGGCGAGGATCACGCCTATCGGGTGAGATTGATGTGGGCGCAGCTGAATGGTTGCTGTGGCTTCAATCAGTCTGTGGACATCCTGGAGGTGGCGGATTCCATGGTGGCGACTATCCCCGGCTTGCTGGCCACGGACAGCAAGGGTGCCTTTGATGCGGTGGAGCTCAATGAGGGACCACTGTTGGGGTTGTCCAACATTCGGGCAGCGCTTCAGGCGTATCAGTTGCGCCAGCAGATGCAGAAGGTTGGCACCAAGCTCCTTTGGCTGGCTAGCGATTGGAACCTCGCGGATTGCATGACGAAGAAAAACAAGACAGCGAGACAGTCGATGATCCAGTTCCTCAACACATGGATCTGGCAGCTGAAGTTTGATCCGAACTTCATCGTGAGCGCCAAGAAGAATGCGAAGGCTGGCAACTCCGCCATGGACCACATGCGCAAGGGCTCCGGCAAGGCCAACTGAGGCACTGGGCAACTTTTTCTTTTGGGCTGGTGCGATAGACCATTTTGGTTTGCCCAGACCACAGTACAGAAGCACATGCATCGTGAGCCCTTTCGGCTTTGCCAGGGAGGGCCCTCTCTTTAGCAGCCAAACCGTTGGCGACAAGCCATGACGCGTTTCCTTGAGGAGGAAAACCAAGGTGTGTAGCCGCTGAGGGCGGCTGTTGCAGATACCTATGCCTCTGAGGGAGCGTGTATTCCCGCAGGGGGGTCAGGTCTGGTCAACACCGGAATCTCGATAGACATGCCCGCTGGGGTACACGCTAGGATAGCTCCTAGGTCAGGACTAGCCGTGAAGAACAGGATCGCTGTAGGCGGTGGGGTCATTGATCCCGACTACGACGGAGAGATCAAGGTCATCCTCTTTAATCATGGGGATGAGGACTTCATCGTAAATCCTGGGGACCGCATTGCGCAGATCGTACTGGAGCGTGTTATGCTCATCGACGCGTCGATCGTTCCTAGGAAAGCCAAGCGGGGAACCGATAGGGGATCCGCGGGTTTCGGAAGCACTGGTATAGCTGCTGCTGCCCCTACGATTGGATCTGATGGAAAGACCTTTGAGTTCTCTATGCCCAGGGGGGAGATATCCCTCTCTCATCGGCCAAAGAGCTCGGGTGTCTTTCCTCCCTTGTACGCTTGTGTCGCTAGGCCAGTGAACAAGAAGGAGCAAGCTGGAAATGCCAAGGCTAAGGCCGCTCTTCAGAAGGAGTGGGACAAGTTAACATCGCAAGGATGCTGGGACTTGTCGACCGTCCAAGAATGGCATGATGTTGCGGCCAAGGCACGTAAGGAAGGGGAGAAGATCCATGTTGGTAGAATTTTCGACATTTGTGTCGAGAAGAATCACGAGCTGCCGGAAGACGATCCGAATCGCAAATATAAAGGGCGAGTCGTGTTCGAGGGATGTTTCGTCCGTGATGAGATCGGGCATTGGGCCCTGTTCTCCGAGAACACCTCCTGCCCCGCTACTATGGCGGCGGGTAAGATGGGTGATGCTCACGGGTTACTCCCAGGGAATCTTCTGGAAGTGAGCGATGGGGAGTCTGCGTATACTCAGGCCCGTTTGAAGGGAAAGAAGACTTGGGTGAGGATTCCTCGTGACCAGTGGCCACCTAGTGGTTCGACGGCGGCGGAAATCCCAGATATAAGGATCATGCTGAAGAAAGTCGGATACGTCAAGGTGAAGGATTGGGCCAGCGTGTTTAGGCATGAGGAGCTCGACCTCTTCCTTGTTGTGTACGTGGATGACTTCAAGATGAGTGGGCCGGCGAAGAATATCGCAGAAGGGTGGGCGCTGATCTCGAAGGTCATCAAAATGGAGGAACCAAGGCAGCTCAAGAGATATCTTGGCTGCGAGCACGAATTCACGCAACAGGTGGTCAAGGGTCACTTTGACCCGAGACTGGCGTGGACGGTCGGCAATCCTCCTGATAAGGAGCAACCCGACTTGAGGTTTGGTCCAGAGGGGTTACTCTCTAAGGACATCCCCAAGCCGGAAACCACGATAAGGTTCATCAAGTACAGCGAGAGCAGCTTCATGCAGGCGTGTGTCGATAGATACATTGAGCTGTGTCAGGGAAAGTACCCGAAGAAGCTGCAGAAGGTTGAAACTCCGTTCCTGGACGAGAGCAAGCCGGAGTTTGACGAGAATTCCGTCAATCCTGAATTTGACAAACTCTTCAACCAGGCGATGGACATGGAGACCGTGAATGCGCAGCCAGGATGCCTCGGAAATGACGCGGCGGCGGTGCTGATGAAGGTTCTCTACGGGGCTCGGAGGGGCAGGTATGACCTGATTCGTCCCGTGCAGGCGTTAGCCAGCCGGGTCACGAAGTGGAATCATCTGTGTGACCGCAAACTCCACAGGTTAATTTCATATGTGAACTCTACGCTCGACCTTCATTTGTACGGTTGGGTGGGCGATAGCCCAGAGTTCATTGAGTTGGTTGCTTACTGTGATGCGGATCTGGCTGGGGATCGTACTGATTCCAAGAGCACGTCGGGAGTGCTTATTTGCCTTGTGGGTCCTAGGACCTACATGCCCATCACTGGAGTAAGCAAGAAACAGACTTCCGTTTCGAAGTCGACTCCTGAAGCAGAGATTGTTGCTCTCGACCATGGAGTGTCCAAGGAGGGAATGGCATTAGCTACCCTCTGGCAGCACGCTATTGGGAAGGGAAAGGAGACCCAGCCGTTTATTATCAACGTGCTGGAGGATAACGAATCGGCATGCCGGATCGTTATAACTGGGAATAATCCCAACATGCGCTATATGTCAAGGACGCAGCGCATTGACATCTCTTGGCTCAACGAACGTTTTAATGATGGAATTTTCCGATTCGTTGCGTGCCCGTCTCACTACCAAGGTGCAGACATTTTCACTAAGGCCTGCATCGACAAGGTCGTGTGGAATAGAAATCTGCACACCCTTGGTATGTTCCTGCCGGGATACCTGCAGGAATATTTGGCCCAACCCACCCAACCCTGTCTTAAGCCCCCTGCCGCTCCTGGACTGCCCCCGCTTAGGGGGGTACGCATGGAATCAGGTGCAAAATCCGGTTTCAATCGGCTCATGGAGAGGTTACTCTCTGAGTACGAGGGAATCGTGATTGACGAGGAAAAAGGAGGGAAAAGATGCGAGAAAACTATTATTGCGGATCAGGCGATAGCCGGTGTTCTTGCTTATAGTGATCTTTGCAGGGTTGTCACGTTTCAAGTTGCTCCTGGTTACAGGAATCACATCATACGATCTGGTAGGATTGAAGGCGATAGCCTTTGTTATGTTGTGCTTGTTCTTAATGATCTTGCACCCGATAGGGTTGATTCCAGGACTGGGAAGTGGGGACAGACCAGAAAGCTTAGGGATAGGACCGACGCCGCCATTAGGCAAAGGTTCAACTTGGCTTGTGATGCTCGGACCAGTGGATGTGTTCCTATCATCCTGTATCGACCTAAATGCAATATCTTGAAGGAAGGTGAGGTTGAAGGAATCGCCACCACGCATGGGTTTGATTGCAGGTCTGTTTGCGCATGCCAATGTGGTCTCAAGAGACATGGGGTCGTGTTTAGGTGCTTCTCTTCTAAGTCTTTCAATTCGTTTTGGAGTACTTGCAAGATGCGAGGAGGGGATACTCTCTCTCAGCACGACCGATTGCTTGCTGTTGGGAAGTGGTTGAACAACTTCGTTGCCGCGTAGCTTTTGCTTGATCAAGCTGGCTCACCCCGCGGGCAACCGCACCACATTCACAGGCGACTCAATGCGCTTACTGACCAGAACAAAAGCATGAGGCAGATATGCCTGTCACTAAGGTTTTTCTTCTGCTTCGTGATGGACGGATTCTGTCAATTATTCATCTCCTAGGTTCTTGTTCTAGGGAGAGGGTCTCTGGCCGATAGGCTGAGCCTTCTGAGAGACAGGGGATTCTGGCCGGTAGGCTGGGTTCCCGGTTCATCCGTGGTTCTGTGGCCGGTGGCCCGAACCTGCTGACGCATGGCGGCAGCTGGCGGAATGGGCCTGGGGCGCTGCATGGCGACGCCTCCGCGGCCGTCCTGGGACCTGGCGATGGGGCTGGGTATGGAGAAGCCGAAGGCTGTGGCCGGTTGTTTGCTTGCGGGATACCGCGAGTGGACGGTTAAGGGGTTTAAGGGACAGGATCCGAAGCTCACCACGATTGATCCAGATATGGAGAAGGCTGATCAGCTGATTGAGGATGATAGTGCCGCGAGGTTCGATGAACTGGTTGGCAGAGTGTCCCACATCAGCAAGGATAAGCTCGACAAGTCCCACATGGCGTTGCCGGACCATGAAAAGCTGCTCCGGTACCGAGCGGTCAGGACTGCTGCGATAGTGGCGGAAATGAAGCGCCGGGGAGTGGAGGTTACGGAGATGAACGCCGTACACTTGGCGGCCATCCTATGCGCTGCGGTTCCGACGGACCCTGCTTTCTTGCTTCCATACCATGCTGCATTCGTGTTTGAGGAGAGCGTTGAAATTGGCGCGAATGCGCTACCCATGGATAGCAGTACGGAGCCGGCAGCTGAACCCTGCGGCGGGATGTGGGTGGGAGACCCAAAAGCCTGGCCGGAGTGGAAGACGGTTCATCAGCAGACGGCCTTGGTAAAGGCGGTCGCTGATCAAGCAGAGGCGGCATTCGGGGATCACCCTCTGTATAGCGGAGATGATTTCGGTGATGCGGAGCACCATTTCCACGCACTCCGTGCCTGGATGAGCGAGAGGCCGAACGCATTGTTCACTCCTCCGGAGGTGGTCGTAGACGCGATGATGCTGACGGAGGGGAGAAACAGGGAGGAGATCGTTAGGTGTTCCTCGGGACGGAGGCTATCATCGGTCCCGTCGGTCAAGAAGTTCGCAACGGCTGATAAGCCAGGAATGCGGGGATACCTGCACGCGATGGGACACATGTCAGGTGTGGTCACTTCCTTGGCTGATGCCATCAACTGGGATCATAGACAGGTGTTGAGGATCGCGCCCAAGAACCCGGCGAGTGCCACTGATGTTGAAATCGGTCCCTGACGGATGGGCGTTCTTCGACTTGGCCATCAATTTCAGAGGCCAGACGGATACTGAGAAGGTCCTTATCCATGGAACTTCGCAATCTTCATTGTGGAGCATTCTGGGTGGTATGCAGGTTACTGCGTCCACCGCACACGATGAAGCAGTAGGTGTATGGATGTCTTTGAAGGCGATTGAGGCCCTGGGATACAGCACTCTGTCGCACTACGGTCAGAACACGTGGGCGAGGGTCGCGATTTGCATCGCGCAACCGGACGAGTCTGAGAACCTGTTCAGCGACAATCCCCACCTGAAGGGCGTCAAGAGAGGGGCCCAGCGAGTGTTCCCGAACGAGGCTGGGGATCTGTGGAATCTGCATCAAGCTTGAGAAGCCTGCGGCAGACTCACAATTTGTGGAGCTATGCAACTCAGGGGGCGATAGCACC